ACAAAGTCTGATTTCTACTCACCCTCCCTTAGGACCCCATCTCAGTAAATGAAAACTCCCTTTTTCCAACTGTTTGGTAAAATGAAACAAAAAGCCCTGAGAATTATGTTTAATGCCTGTCTTTCTTTCAGGCGCTAGAGCTGATCAATCAGCAAATCCCATTGGCTTTGCCTAAAATTATATGCAGGATCTGACCGCGTTTTACCACCTCCTTCACTGCTATCCAGACCACTGTCATCTCTCGTCTTCCCCACTTGCCCCCAAGCACACACACTCCACACCCATTCGAGACTTTTCAAGATGGTTCCAGGACTAGAGGCCCCGAGGAGCTGACTGTCTGCCCTCCTGGTCCTGTGTCCTGTCTCAGCTGAGCTAGAAGACCAGAGAATGTCGGGGCACAGGAGGCCGGCCCTGGAGAATGGTGAGCCACTCACGACGCAGTCACCTGGGTTGAACAGCACGATGGCTCGCAGGCACCCCAGCTCCGACTTATCCATCTGCATGTCCTTCATTTTGGAGACCAGCTCAGTCAGAACTCTGTTCACAGGAAACAAGGAGAGGTGATGAGGAAGCCATGAGTCCCAGGCCAAGGGATGATAAAATGAACACGACCAATATTTATTGTGTACCCACCCCGTTTTCCAGACAATGTGCCAGGTACTAGGTCACAGAGGTGACTAGGACGTGGTACCTGATCCCTGGAACTCACCGTTTAGTAGAAGAAACAACCCACAGCATGCAAAGCTAGTAACGGCCATGAGCAAAGTCCAGGGGGACCCAGAGGGGTAGGCAGAGGGCTGCGAGGGGGCTGGAAAGGCAGCCCAGAGGGTTTGGCAACGAGTAGAAATGCCGGAGGCAAAGCAGGGCAAGGGCACTGCGTGTCTGGGACACAGCAGAGGACAGCATCCAGTGGCAGGGGGCACCATGAGGGGGTGGAGCCAACCAAACCACATTGGTCTCCACCGGGACACATTGTGGGGAAGGGCACAGGACTGGGGACATCCCAGGTGGACATGCACATGGCCCTGGAAGACCGTTTATGATGGATGTGCAAAGGGGCCACAGGGTCCTGGCATCGGTCAGAGAGAGCAGTTTCAACCTTACCTCTCTCTTTCGCAGTTCTGCACCCTCTCACCCCTGAGCCACTCATCTCTATTCGTTTCATTCATCCTCTCAAATCACATGGCTTAATTTCCCTTTAGCACCATTTAAGGTGCAGAATCCCAAGCTGAGGCTGTCCCTGCCTGACCAAAGATCCCACTGCAGAGTCCAGCAAAGACCTCAGCCCAGCTTTCCCAGACTCGTCCAGTCAGATCCCGGTGCCTCCTGCCCGGCCCCGCCCCCTACGATAAGCCGTTCAATGCCCCAGCCCCAACTTGCTAGGTCACGTCAGCCCCAACTTGCTAGGTCACGTCAGCAATCCAGTCTCTTCTCTGGAAACCCATCCCGTTAGCGGGTTCTCCCATCTGCCCAGCAACGATGTGACTGGCCCCACCTTGTTGTATCAGCCTTCCTTTTACTCCCTCTCTCAACATCCCAGATTTACGTTCTCCTGGGCTTAATGCCGTCTGCTTCCAGCCAAGGGTGCGGCTGGGGCTGTCCATCCTCCACCCCGGCACTGCCCACAGGTGCCCGCACACACATGCACATATGCACACACGTGTACACACACATGCACACACACACACACACACAGGCACTGGAAGCAGATGACAGACACCTGTCAAAGATGGAGCCCACCCCAGCACTGTGGGCACTGCTCCGGTGGACATGCAAGCCCGTGGCCAGGAGGATGCCATCCTGCACGGAGACCGAGCGGTGAGAGAAGGAGGCAATCAGCAGCTCATTCCACCCTGCGAGGACGAGAGGGAGGCCTTGAGGATGCAGCGACCAGGCTTGCTTCATTGATAAGCATCCAATTCATTATGTTATGATAAAAACATATGAAATAAGAACAGAATCAGGGCCCAGGGGGTTAAAAACGAGTTCCAGACAACACAGCTAAGTAGTGAAGACACAAAGGATGAGACTCAGGTCCCCTGACTTGTGGCTCTGGCACCACCACAGTCTCCCCAGTGCAGCCCAGAGTGGCAGCTGGAGGACAAGGACTCTATCCCCGCCCCCGGTCCATCAACAAATATGGCGGAACATGTAACTGGTAACCGTCGCTATGGCAGCTGCCATGGTGGACAAAGCGTGTAGGCCTTGCTGTCTCTGCCCCCAGGACCTGGCGACCTGGTTCTATGTCTTTGGCCTCGTCTAGAGGCACCTGGCACGGTGTGCAGCTTTCGGTGGACACCCAGCTTGCTCGTTATCTAACAGGGATGAACTGAGTGGACTGGCTCCCAGCGCTCAGCCAATCTTCGTGGAATTTCCCTCTGGCTCAGTGACAAAGAGGAGATATGGCACATGTCCACTGTGCCACATCCCTGTCCCAGAGGTGGGAGCCGGCAGAGAACACAGCNAGGGAGGGGTTCTGTTGCGCCCCCTTCATTTGGCTTGGGTATGGGGGTCCCTCCCTCGTCCAGGACCCCCTGGTGAGGTGGGGTAAAGTCACATCACTGTCCCCAAGCACCCTTTATTCTTAGGAATTCTCTTCTTAAAGTTCAACCTTCTATGAATAGAGACTCAAGAAGAAGTGTTAGGACAAGTCACAGAATCAGCTCATCGGTGTCGGTGAGCCCCGTACGGGCGCAGCCATTCGTTCCTGTCTGGAACATGAGGGGACCTCCTGGCCTCACCTGGGACCCTAGCCAAAATTCCCAAACCAGAGGAAATGCCACTGATTCTGTCCTTTACGGATGCTTCCCGGCAGAGTGTCTCAGTCTGAGTGCTGGTGGCATTTGGGGCCGGACACTTCTTTGCCGTGGGGCTGTCCCACGCATTGTAGATGTTCAGCAGCGTCCCAGACTCTAACCAGTGAATCTCCCCTGTTGTGACCATCTCTAGACATCGCTAAACCTTCCTGGGTGGAGGTGGGACAGCAACAGGGCCCCTGGTGAGAACCGCAGCTTAACAGACCAGTGGAAATCACTGAACGTGTCTGAGCAAGAAGGAACATAAAATTACACTCAGATACCATGTGGTCGGTTTCACTGAATGGTACAATCAGGAGCGGCCAGGGCCAAGAAACGTTCACTGTGCCAACGATTCCTTTTGAATAATCCCTACGAGTGTATAAAGTGCTGTCATAACATTCTCTCAGCTTCCACACCAGCCATCTGAGGGAGGGACCACATCCCACTGCTGAGTTGTGAATATGAGCATAGGTCGGTGTGCCTCCCTGGTTCTGCAGACGGCGGGAAGGTGATGTGAAGGAGACAGGCCGGGTAGGCGGGCTGTGGCATCCGTTAGACACAGTCCCTCCCCTCGAGGAGCTCACTGTCTGGCACACAGTAGGGCTCCGAGACCTCTGAGAGACGCTGGGGAGGTTTTCTCTCTTCCCCTTCTAAGAGCAGGCGACATGGGATCAGACATATCAGTGGAAACTAAACTTGGCGTACTCTGGTCTTTTGGCAACTGCTGACGTAGTTACTACGTCTCCAACTCCCAGGGCCCAAGAATCTTTCTCCATCAAGACAGCGTCTTCTCTTGGCCTTAAACTCAGTTGCCCCCACCCGCAGGACAAGGCTCTGTCTATTATTCTTAGGAGGAAAACAAAACACAACAGAAAAACCAAGCTGACTCTGAAACCCATGTCTCTCCAAGGACTGCCCTCAGCCCCAGTCCCCGCTCCACCTGAGACACCTGTCCTGTAGCACAATGACACGCCCCATGCTCCAACAGTGCCAATATCAGTCATATATCATTTTATTAGTCATTCGTTTGCTCTCCATGGCAAGTGAAAAAATAATTTAAACCCATTGTATGTACAGAGGCTGGATTCATCTTCCCAAGAACTTCCAGAAAGGTCTCCAGCCCCTTAGATAACAAAGAAGGGTAACCTTTAACATCTATACAAAACTCCACCTATGAAAGTCTCGTGTGTAGAAAGGTTTCTTTATTATAAGCATCACATTGTGGGAACAGGGAGGGGTCGGGTGGGAGGTGGAGGAACGTGTGCAGGGCGGGGACGCACACACCTGCCCAGGGCTCCCCCCGGCAGGGAGGCTGTGGCTGGCGGGGCTCAGGTAACCTGCAGCGGGGTCTCCAGCATCTCCATGAGGAAGGTGTCAATGGGCGTGTCCCCGATGAGCTTGAAGAAGAAGAGGTGCTCCAGGCACTTGAGGCCGATGGAACGCAGGGCCGGGAGGCGCAGCAGCAGCTTGGCGAACCTGTGGGAGAGCCCGAGGGGTTAGGACATGGGGGGACCACTCGGGGCGCTAGGCAGGAGGCAGTGCGAGTCCTTGGGACCATTCGTGATAGGAGAAAGAGCCTGGAGGGGACGAGGGAGTCCCTCACCCCAGGGCGCTTCGGAAATGGGCCAGAAGGCTAGTTAACTTCTGAAAGGCGGCGTGGGCTCTGTGACCTCTTGGGGAGCTTCTGATGAGAAGGGTGCAAACTGGGATTTTAATACGCCTTGAAAACCTGTACATTTCTCTACGCATGCCACGCGTTTTAAGGAAATGTGGCAACGTAAGAAAAATAGAATGGCACCAGCTAAAAAGGTAGGAATTACTTCTCTGCACGGAGAAATTTTTGAAGGCCAAGAGTCCTTCAAAAATGTTTAGTTATGAAGCCTCTGAGGGCATCCAAATGGTGTCAGCGTGCAGTGAAGAGGCAGTTAGGTGGCGCGGGAGGAGGCTGAGGCCCACTGGTGGCCCTGCCGTGAAAGGGTTTTTGGAAATCGGCAAAGGAAACGGCTTCCCTATAAAGTGCACAGCTCGACTGAGATTAACTCTGCAAATGTGTTTCCACTCTAAAAATGCCAGTTTTACAACATGTCAAACGCTGAGTATGCTGTAACACTGCCCTCTTTGCTGCCGGGCCTGGATTTAGGCCCAGAGGTCAGGAATACGGAAATAAACACGCCCGCTCACAGTCACCCGTGAGACGGCCGCGGCTGTCCTCACTCACATGTTGGCAGCAGAGGCTTCTCAGGCTCGGGAGGCGCCCACTGTGGGGGAGGGAGGCTGTGCGTGCCAGCCCTGCACCCTCCTGAGTCTGGCTAGGGAAAGCACAGCTCGGCCCCTGTGTCATGTATTCTGAGAAGCCTCCATGGAGTGGCAGCACTCTGCCACCAAGAAGACGGCCTGCCCATAGTGCCAAGGTCCCTTCGCCTGTGTCTGCACGCTCCCCTGCATGGGGGACCCCGGTGACAGCCCCAATGTAGCTGCTCAGCCTCAGGATGGCTGCCCTGTGTCCAGGCTGTGGAGGATGAACCAGGGGACACTCGGGGGCCCAGCCTGTGCACCCTCACCCCGCACCCCCAAGTCCTAGGCTCTCCCTAGCCCAGGCAACAGGCGTGGCACCTCT